ATTGATTATCAACTAAAGAATAGCATGAAATATGAATCTATCTAAGAAATAAAAATGCCACAATTCAAAAAGAGACAAACGAGCTAGGTATTGTGGACAATCATTTCCGGTTCTACACACATTTATCGGCAATCCATAACTCGATTAAAAGACTCGACTAATTAACTCATTTAGCGGTTTAACCTCAATAACTCTTCGTAACATGCGGATAAACATAAATGAGCAAATTAACGAAACAATTAATACATAGACAATACGTCTCCGAACATGTCTACTCTAAACGAGCCAAGTTCCACCAATTTTTCCCCTCTCGGTTTTGAAATCGATTAATTCTACGACTCCTCCCCTCTCGGTTTCAAAAGTTGCTAATTTCGATTAGAAGGTGTTTAATCAACTAATCATGTAGAATCAACAAACTCTAACTTAATAAATCAATATTCAATAGTGCAATATCGAAGTGTCGCTCTTCGATTACATCAATATTTTCCTAAGTGTCACTCTTAGGTTATATCGAATTATCAAGCATGATTTTAACAATTCCCAATTAAAACAACTCGCAAAGATTGAGCTATCGTCATGCACATAAACGAGAACAAACCGGAATGATTATCCCCTAGCCCCTAGCTAAAGGATTAGCTACTCATGATGAAATCAACCACAACAAAAGGTTTAACACAAGCTTTCATGTTCATAATCAAATGAAGAAACCTTACTACTAATCCAAGTCGAGAATCGGAATCAAACTTACGAGTCAAACCGAGTTCACAAGAAATCTTATATTCTCCAAATATTACACTCACAAATAATACCAAGAAAAGGAACTAACAATGAAGAAGAAGAAAAGAAAGAAGAAGAAAGAAGGAGAGGAAGGAGAAGAGGGGAGAACCCCTCTATGGAGTTGTTTTATCTCAATCCAAATCCTTGCCCCATTTATAAATGTTTTCTCCTTCTTTTCATTCATAAATTCTTCCACAAAACATGCAAAAATGTTTATGGCTCAAAACATGGAAGAAATGGCTGAAACATGGAGGAAATGACCCAAAACATGGAGGAAAATCCGAGTGGTGGGTCTAAGTGTGGAACAGGCACTCCGCGGCCGCGACTTTCAGCTACAGAAGTTGGCTCCGCGGCCGCAGGATTCCTGCGCTGCCCGCGGTGAAGAAAATTCTGCTGTTGCGCGCGGCTTTACGTTTCGGGCTCGTTTAGGCTCGTCCAAACTCGGAATTGAGTTTCGTTTTTTCCTATGTGTCACCAACGAAGCCTTCTACGCAATTATGCTTTCAAATGCAACTTATACTTGAAAACCTATTCTCCCAAAGTTCTTGACTTGAAGTTGGCAGCTTCCGTGCACGACTTCGCATATTGAGCCCGTCCGCACTCGTACGAACTCGAAATCGAATTCTGCTTTTTCCTACTTGTAGCCAACGAACCCTTCTAATCAACCATATTTTCCCGAACCATCTTCGAGCTAAATCTATTCCTCACGAACTTCTGACCTGCACACCAAAAAAAAGAAGAAAAACGTAGAAAACTGACAAAATACACGAAAAACAAATAAAACGCCAAAATAGAACAAAACACACAATAAACTACAAAACGAACTAAAAAAAACTAACAAAAAGACCTAAAACGGGGGAAGTAGAATGACAAAATAGTAACGAAAAATGTAACAAAAATGGTCACAACAACAATCTCCCAGCAGGCCTGGAAGAATAGAGACGAGAAGCCATCCGAACCAGAGACACTGTTGGGATCAATCCCAAAAACAACCTCCCTAATATCCTCCCTACTCGTGAGGTCGCAGAGGTCAATAAAGTCGACCGACTGCGGGATGGTGGGGAAAACGGAAGCGTTGGGGGGCGTAAGCAAGTCGCGATATGAATTGAAGAGGGATTGGAAGTGTGTCACAACCGACTCCCGTATCTGGGACTCCTGAGTCAAGGAAGACCCGTTATCCTCAATACAATGGATATACGACTGTATCCGCTTCTGCCTCACAAACCCCTGAAAGTACTTGGTATTATGTTCCTCCTCCGCAACCCAGCGAACCGCAGTCTTCTGCCTCCAGAAATCCTCCTCCATAAGGAGGTGGAGCTGGTACTCAACATGACAACGGCGCATCGCGGTCCTATTCTCTGGTGACAAATCCAAATCATAAGCCCGCTCAGCAGCCTCATACACACTCTGAGCTGCAGCAAGGCGCTGAGAAATGTCTCCAAATATCGTCCAATTCCACTGCTTTAAACTGCGCCTAAGTCTACCAAGCTTCGCCTCCAGGTTTCGCATCCCAAAAAGCCCCGTCGGATGGTGCCAACAAGCCCTAACCGTGTCATGGAACGTGCGACGACGAGTCCATATATTCTTGAACCTAAATGAAGAGCGACGTGGGGTGCTCAAAAATCGACACTGGATAAGAAGGGGAGCATGGTAAGATTTAATTCGAGGGAGGTGTTTGACGGTCGTGACCGCAAACACGCTTGTCCATGCCTCAGAAGTCAAAGCACGGTCAAGCCTCTCCTTAACTCGGTCAAGCCTCTCCTTAACTCCGACCCTCTCCCACGTGAATGACGAGCCTTCGTATCCAGCATCAATTAACTCACAATCTGCCACAGCCTGGGAGAAATCTAAGATCTCCGCAGAGCGGTCGGACTGGCCACCAATGCGCTCATTGGGGTGAAGAAAGATGTTGAAATCACCGCTAATCATCCACGGTGATCCCTCCATACTTTCAGCAATCTCACGCATGGTGTCCCACAGATCATAGAGACCAACCCTCGCACAGCTGGCATAGACAAGAGTGTGGAAGATTTGTTTCGGGAGATGTGCGGCAGAGAGCTCAACGTGCAGGACCTGTTCCATGTCACGGATGATCCGACATGTAAAGTCTTGCAAATGAATGAACCAGATCTTGTTAGATATGTTTCCCACGCCGGAGTGGAAACCAAGATGTCTAGAATATAAGTCAAAAGAGGGGTTATGGGTCATGGGCTCTAGGAAGGCAGCAAAGTCTATACTATGGTCACGAACTAGGGATCGAAGGTGAGCAAGAGTGGCCGTATTAGCCAGGCCACAGGCATTCCAGGTTAGGGATGTGACTGACATATCAAATGTCAGGGGGGCAACCTAACTGGTTCTGCCCGTGGATAGGCTGTGTCTGTCTATCTGCGAGGGGTAAGGGTCGGTTATCCGAGCATCGAACGGTCCTAGATTTGGTCTATGGACGGTGATGGACAAGATTCTCAGAAAGAATATTCTCTAGAGATCTGGTCCGAGGGTGGTCTGGGCTCTCCGACTTGAGGTCCTCCAGTTGGGGCAACTGGGGTCCTCCCCGGCCTGCAACGATCAGAGCCCGGTCATGAGAGGGTGTGCTTCCCAACTCCTGGAGGGAAGGGGGGGAATGTCAGAGGGTCAGGCAAAGAGGGCCCCAACTGTGGGCAGAGTAGAGGGACTGGTTGTGAGCACAACCGAATGCTCACCCGCAGGAGAGGGTGTAGGGGACCTCAGCTCTTGAGGTTCCTCCATAGAGATAAAGGGGTCACAAGGCTGCGCAGTGGTGTGGGAACTAGAGGCAAGGGGAGGGGAATGAAGGCTACTAGCTAAAGGGACAGACGGTCTTGTCTCGTCGTCCAAGAGATCATCATCATCAAGGAGAGAACTAGACAATTGTACTCGGTGGCTGGAGGAGGAAGCAGGCTCATCCTCCGTCTCTGAAGCAAGGACTGAGAAAAAGGAGTGAACACCCACAAGTGCCGAATGAAGGGACTGACGAGGAAACAATCCCGTAGCTCTAGACTTTACCTTGTCCAAGGCAACTCCCTTAGGGTGGTTAGGCTGGGGGGCCTTTCCGACCCGGTGGAGAGTATCAATCGCAGTCTTGCCCTTGTCCTTCTGTCCCTTTGGGGACTCAGGCACTTGGGCAGGGGCCTTACCCTTCCCCTTAGGGTCCCTCGGGATAGCTGAGTGCCCCGATCTAGCCACTTGGCGGCGAGGAGGAAGTGACGGCCGGGGCTTATTGCCCCTGGTGTAGAAATCAGTCGGTGTATGACCCACATGGTCACAAAGGGTATAAAAAGGAGGAACCCGCTCATAGACCACCTTCTGGATAGTGGTCTTTCATCCATGAGAGAGCTCAATCTCCTCAATGAGCTTACCACGTAGATCTATATCAACGCATACCCGTGCGACAGAGAACTTCGACCTGTTGGCCGTGGCGTCATCAACATCAATTGGATTGCCAATACAGGTGGCAATCGAGATGAAGGCAGTGGGGTCAAAAAAGAGGGCAGGGAGGCCTGATAGACAGCACCAGACTGGGACAATGGAGGACTCCCCGTAAGGAAGAAGTCTGAGGTGTATTTAAACACCCGGGCAGAGCACCCACAAATGGATATAGACTATTTAATCCACACTGAGTTGTAGTCCTCTTTCAAATCAAAAAACACTATGTAGTGATTGAAGTTTAAATACCTAGGAGCAATTCTATCCTTAAAACCCAATTTTCCTAATCCAACAGATAAATCTCGAGATTGGGGACGGAGAAGGAAAACTTAAAAATAATGGCAATAGCAAACGGCTCGACTAAGGAAGAAATATCATGGTCAGGGAAACTAACTATAAACCGTCCCTCCTCGGAGCGAGTGGTAGTGCCCCGTTGCTTGTCTCGAAATGACTGTAGTGATCGTCTCTGGTAGCCCGAGTTGCCGGTTGGATTGCCGGTGATCGCATCCTGGAAGGATCGGGTGGTGGCGGGGGCCAAGGCCGGTGAAGGGGAACCCGTCGAGGGCGGTCCAGTGGCTCCGATGGTGCCCAACAGGGGCTGAACAGATCTAGCGGCATGTGAAATCGGGCCCAAGGTGCCGACCGTCAGAATGGTGGATCCTAACGCAACGGTGGTGCCACCTAGGTTTGCCGAGGTCGGGACCGTGGTATATAAATACGCCATTTTATGCCACAAATCGTGAATATATATTGACCACACGTTGTGTCATGAAAGATTGCTTTTAGTTACCAACTGAAAATTATCACAAAAATTCATAATAATACTATTACAATTAGCCAATAAATTAGGTATGAAATAACAACATATTTGAAGATAATGAGTATCAATAGAAGGAATGATATGAAGCAGTGTTTTAAATACCGTATCGGTGGCCACACCGGTCTAGCCACTGGTACGCGGTATTACCGGTAGGACCGGTAATATCGGTGGTATTACCGAATTAGCAAATATAATGATATATATATTTATATATAAAAATGTATTATACCAAATGCAAAAAAGTAAAAAAAATAAATGACCATAATCATTAATTTTAACTTACCAATGAGATAAAAATAAAATATTTTAACTACCAATTTAAATTTTATGTTTTTAAACTAATATATATTTTTTTTTTAATTTTTTTAATTTTTTTGTTATGACCAGTATTTTGGACCGGTTTTTTCCGGTATTTATGGTATGACCTCGGTACAAACCGGTATAACCGTAAATCCGGTATTCTGTGTACAATTGTACCGTACCAATGACCGGTATCTGATATTACCGGTATTACCGGCCGATACGGTACGGAATTGAAAACACTGATATGAAGTATTCATAAATGAAAACAAAAATAATAGTACTTGGAATATTAAGTGACAAACACTAAATAAATACTTGAGACAAATCTCCAAATCCATAGGCTTATTTTCTAATTTTGTTGAATTACACATTATCGAAAAGTCTTGGTAAATCCATCGGCATCCATTCACAAAAAAGAGCAATCACCTGTAAATTTAAAACCTTCAAATTAGTACATATATTTTCATTTGTCAAAGCATATTTTTTTTTTCGAAACGATAGAGATATTATATATAAATCACAAAAATGTACAAAAGTACAATGTACAGCCACTAGCTGAATACAACCAGCTAACAGCTGAATAGAGTGGGAGGACAGTCAAAAACCGCCTAGAGCCGGCCCCAACGGGGCAATACAAACGAATACAAAAACACTAACACACAACAACAGTAAAAAACCAAAAGGACCCAACAGGGTAATACCCGAGTGTCTGCTCCCAACAGGAGAATAAGTTGACACTCAGGCTCACATAGGCCAACGGCCCAGACAAAAAACACAGCAAAACAACACACAAAACCACGAAAGTATCAACAAAACAAAACAACATACACTAAGCGGCCCTTCCTAAACAGCAACACCTAACCAAACCAGCGGAAACAAGTTGACCATGAATCCCGTAGCAAGAACACAGACCCCAAAACTGCCTAAACCACTCGGGTGCCTAACGGAGACGAAATACCAACCTCGGAACCGCAGCAGGCCAACCCGCACCATGACCACAACACCAAATTGTCAAAGCATATTTTCACAAAATAAAAAATGAACCCCATTGTTATATTGGAACTGTTTACCTCAACTATTTCCTTTGGAAGCCATGAATGCCATAAGCTTTTCAATATTTGCACCTTGTTGGCCGAATAAGTTCTTCATGTCATTAACTTGTTCCATGAGCTCACTCACTCGTGATTCTGATGCTATTAGCTTTTCTTGAGTTTCCTGAAGCTCCTTTTCAAGGTATTGGTTGGCTGGAGCATAAATGCGTTTATTTAAGTGATTCGTTTGATAACCAAGTCCCTTCATATAAGTAGATCTTTGACCAAGCACCTCGTGAACTATTTCTTGGTTCGTCTTCTCAGCTCCTTCTGCTGTATATTTTTCTCGCATCGATACCATCAACTCCTGATGGATTACAATCATATATCATGCCTTCTAAAAAAATAACAATACCAATACAATATTAAAGTGTGAGTTACACAATTTTCTTTTGCCTCATCAGCTGACCAACCATGTTTGTCAGTGCAATGTGTGAGTTTGTAAAACTCAATTATGTCCCCAACATCTCCATTAGAATCTCCATTAGCAACTCTATTAACATCCTTCTGAGCCTAGCAGAAAATAAAAATGAAAATAAAATGTACAGGATATGAACCTTTTTCTAGAAACATAATTGTAAAACATTGTAAGACAGAGCTCGTCCCATAATTGTACAGGATAGGAACATATTTCTAAAAGTAAAATGTACAAGATATGAAAATGTATAGGATATGAACCTATTTCTAAAAATAAAATGTACACGATATGAACCAAAAATGTACATGATATGTAAATATTGTAAAACATCACTGCATGTTTAGAACTTACAATTTCTTGTTGAAGAGTAGAAAAAGGAGTTCTGCCAGATATATGCGGGGTCCTTAACAATTGTCGATTCACAGTGTTAGTTGAACTTTGGTGCTGAAAACAAGAAATTGCAACATAAGAAATATTCCCAAAATATATCAATAAGAGTACCAATCGCAAGACGTTACCTGGAAATTAGCAGATGCAAAATTAATCACAGAGTTCGTCCCAATTTTCTTTACTAGCACAAAATGGTGGCTTATTATTCTTAACCTCTTGTGGGGTTGCATACTTCTTGTAATGCTTATTTAATCTGTAACAAATTTGTCGAGAACTAGATTTCATCCTATCAACCAAGCAGTGCCACGCACCAGGTACATCCAAGTTGACATCCATATGAATCTGAACATCACATTTAACATATTTTTACATATACAAGAAAAAAAAAACATGCCATTTTTATTCTTATTTTATAGTTACCATTATATGATCAATGCCTTGTTCCAAAAAATTTTCTTCAGTCATTTCTTTCCATTTTCTTGGCACTAGAAGGACATCTCAAGCTACTACACCAATTTGACTTGAGAGCTTTGAAGATTGCTCTCGACTTTTGGGTTGTCCTATCAGTGGGTCCACATCTATCTTCAATTTCTTTCCAGAGGCATGAAATGCTTTCATAATTCTCTTACCCATTGTTTGACCACGTCTTCTCTTAGTGATGGAAGCTTTGTAAGGTAAAAAAGAACATTACATTTTATTATTAGAGGACATATATACTAATTCCTTGCAACCATTTCATTCAATGTTTCTAAGATTCTAACTCATTTATAAATCAAAATACGATTGTGAAACATTGACATGCAAATAAGTGGATAAAACAGTCCAAAATAAATTCATGGTTTTTTCTACTAATATGCCTACACAAATATTTCCAAGAAGGCATGAAGTTAATTATATTTCCTGTTCATTAACAACATAAACAAGCACAACTCCAAAGCACGTATAGTACAGATTGGAAAAAATTATTTACCCTAGTATTTGTGACAAAAATTAGTATTGTCATTGTACCTTTGTGAGATTTGGTGACTGTTGATTTGTCACATTTATCATGAAACATTTGTCACAAAATATCTATATTATCACTAAAACTTTGCCTTTATATGACGAACATATATGGTTTCGTCATCTGAAAATTCACATATAATGACAAAATTAATTTTATCATCGTCTTTATTAAAATATAATATAATGACAGTTAGTTTGTCTATCCATCTAAGACTTGTCATCTATAATATAATTTGTCATAAAAGAATTGTATTATAATTACAAAAATTTAGTTGTCACCAACGAAATATTTATCATGATGAACGAACATGTCACATAAAAGTACGTTTTAATGATAAAATATTCCTTGTCACCAGATGAATATATTAATGGTGATGATATATTTAGTCATCCAAAGTTTGTATTATATGACATGGGGTTTATCGTCACCAAATGCATATAAAAATGTGACAATATATTTTATCATCAAGAAGTACAAGTATATGACGCAAAAGACAATTGTCATTAAATATGTAGGTATAGTGACTATAAGTTAGTCATAATCAAAGAATATCTATGACAAATATACCGTCACTTGAAAGAAGTTTAGTGTGACAAACTATTTGTCATAAAGAAGCCATTTTATGCCACAAATCGTGAATATATATTTGACCATACGTTGTGTCACGAAAGATTTCTATTAGTTACCAATGGAAAATTATCACAAAAATTTATAATAATACTATTGCAATTAGCCAATAAATTAGATATGAAATAACAACATATTTGAAGATAATGAGTATCAATAGAAGGAATGATATGAAGTATTCATAATTGAAAACTAAAACAATAGTACTTGGAATATTAAGTGAAAAACACTAAATAAATACTTAAGTGACAAATCTCCCAATCCATAGGCTTATTTTCTGATTTTGCTGAATAACATATTACCGTAAAGTCTTGGTAAATCCATCGGCATCCATTCACAAAAAAAGAGCAATCACATGTAAATTTAAAACCTTTAAATTAGTACATTTATTTTTATTTATCAAAGCATATTTTCACAAAATAAAAAATGAGCCCCATTGTTTATATTGAACTATTTACCTCAACTATTGCCTATGGAAGCCATGAATGACATAAAATTTTCAATATTTGCACCTTGTCGGCCCATTAAGTTCTTCATGTCATTAACTTGTTCCATGAGCTCAGTCACTCGTGATTCTGATGCTATGCTATTAGCTTTTCTTGAGTTTCATGAAGCTCCTTTTCAAGGTATTGGTTAGCTGGAGCATAAATGCGTTTATTTAAGTAATTCGTCTGATAACCAAGTCCCTTCATATTAGTAGATCTTTGAACAAGCACCTCGTGAACTATTATTTATTGATTCGTCTTCTCAACTCCTTCCGCTGTATATTTTTCTCGACTCGACACCATCAACTCCTGATGGATTACAAACATATATCATGCCTATCTAAAAAAATAACAATACCAATACTAATATGAAACCGTGGGTTACACAATTTTCTTTTGCCTCATCAGTTAACCAACCATGTTTGTCAGTGCAATGTGTGAGTTTGTAGAACTCAATTATGTCCCGAGCATCAATTATGTCCCCCAACATCTCCATTAGCAACTTTATTAACATCCTTCTTAGCCTAGCAAAGAATAAAAATAAAAATAAAATGTACATGATATGAACCTTTTTCTAGAAACATAATTGTAAAATATTGTAAAACAGAGCTCATCCCATAATTGTACAGGATATGAACCTATTTCTAAGAATAAAATGTACAGGATATGAACATATTTCTAAAAATAAAATGTACAGGATATGTGAATATTGTAAAATATCATTGCATGTTTAGAACTTACAATTTCATGTTGAAGAGTAGAAAAAGGAGTTCTGCCAGATATATGCGAGCTCCTTAACATTTGTCGATTCACAGTGTTTGTTGAACTTTGGTGCTGAAAACAAGAAATTGCAACATAAGAAATATTTCCAAAATGTATCAATAAGAGTACCAATCTCAAGATGTTACCTTGAACTTAGCTGATGCAAAATAATCACAGAGATCGTCCCAATTTTCTTTACTAGCACAAATGGTGGCTTATTATTCTTAGCCTCTTGTGGGGTTTCATACTTCTTGTAATTCATATTTAACATGTAACGAATTTGTCGAGAACTAGATTTTATCCTATCAACTAAGCAGTTCCTCACACCTGGTACATCCAAGTTGACATCCATATGAATCTGAACATCACATTTAACATATTTTTACATATACAAATGGTTCCAACATTTTTTCTTCAGCCATTTCTTTCCATTTTATTGGCAATGGAAGGACATCTCGAGCTACTACACCAATTTGACTTGAGAGCTTTGCAGATTGCTCTCGACTTTTGGTTCGTCCTATCAGTGGATCCACATCTATCTTCAATTTCTTTACAGAGGCATGAAATGCTTTCATAATTTCCTTACCCATTGTTTGACCACGTCTTCTCTTAGGGATGGAAGCTTTGTCTGTTAACAAAGAATATTACATTTTATTAATAGAGGACACGTATACTAATTCCTTAGAACTATTTCATTCAAAGTTTTTAAGATTCTAACTCATTTATAAATCAAACTACGATTGTGCAACATTGACAGACAGATAAGAGGACAAAATGCGACAGTCCAAAATAAATTCATGCTTTTTTATGCTAGTATGCCTACACAAATATTTCCAAGAAGGCATGAAGTTAATTATATTCCATGTTCATTAACAGCATGCACAAGCACAACTCCAACATGCACCAGCTACCAACATGCACAACAAAAGAATCCACAAGTCACAGCATGCACAATATGCTAAAAAAAAAAAAAATTAAGAACATTCATGATTCCAAACATGACGATAGCAATTCACATTAATATTGTTGAAAATCAATATTCGAATCGATGGGAGATAATTTTAAGAGGACCATTTCTTATTGCAGAGAAATTATCTGGCACTTGCACTCATGAAAGGAACAAGACAATGAGATATATCTCACATCCGTACATGCATCCACATTCCCAAGCAAAAACGCATTTAGATAAGTAAAATAGAATGAACAAAAAATGGCAAAAAAGAAAACACACCTTAGTAAGTAAACATCAACAAACTCCAACATAACGAAAATAACAGAAACAACATCTATTCACTGTACGCAGCAACTATTCCAACAACAACTATTCACTGTAAACAGCAACTATTCCAACAGTTACCCTAAGTAAAAAACAAAAAACATAATGTTCCTGCAACTATTCCAATAGTTATCCTAAATAAAAATCATATTGTACCTTTGACTGATGTCTCCTGAAGGTTACCAGTTGAGCCTTCAGCTGCATTCAAATTCAGATTTTCGTTGGGAGCTTCAAGGGTTTGTGGAATGCTACTCTCATTAGTGTGATTTACTGTGGTATTATCACATTCTCCAGAACAACCATTATGAACTTTAGTATTTCGACTTGCTCCGGCCACTCCGTCAGATGACACATTTGATTGGTTAAAAAGTTTTATGACTCCAATACAAGCTGACGGAGCGATTGAGCTATCCTTGGCAGCTTGGTTAAGGAAACTTTGTAGAGAAGCTTTAAAATAATTATATTTTTACGATTTCCTGGAGCCATTCGTGGTAATCGACATAAGATTACAAAAATTTTATCAATGCAGAACCAATTTTGAAGAACTAAGAAATACATAATCGTTTTAATAAAAATGCCTACTTATTGAAAAAAGAACACATATAGTTAACTTACGCATTCCAATGGTGATTATACATGTTATAACTTAATATACTAGCACAACCGAGATGGCCCTGTTATTTGTGTTATAAGAATACTTCATAAAACATTTTTTTTTAAAAAAAAATATTTTTTAACATCATGTAGGTTTGAAGAATTTTGTGTAAGAAGAATGTTTGGAGGTAATATCATATGAGGATCTGCATAGTTTATATTTTGGTGGTACTCTTGCAGAAAAGCTTAGCTTTTACATTATTGATAGATTTACTGAAGATGCTTTTATATACATGCATTCTGTTCAAAAGTAGTGGTGAACATGTTTGCATACACATACATTTAGTTCAAAATAAGTGGCACTGGCACCACATAATTACCTGCAATATATAGTAGGACTTAATATCCTTTTCACCAGCAAGAGGAATACCAAATTCTACTTCATTCACAAAATGCAGGTAGTTTGTATATAATTGCTGCAGCATATATTAGGACTTAATATCATTTTGACCAACAAGAGGAGTACCAAACTCTAATTCATTCACAGCAGCATATATTAGGATCTGTTAAGCTCTTGGCTAGCAAGATGGTTAACAAATCCTAATACATTCACAAAAGGGTGGGACAACTATTCACACGCATACAAATTAACATTGTCTTAGATTGCACAACATAGGCATAAATTATCCCAAAAAAGACATGTAACCAACAGTAACTATGTTTTTAAAAACTCACAACATCGTATAAGACATGTAGATTTAATAATAAATAAAAATTACACCTTCAGTTGCCTTTTATAGATGAAAGATGAAAAAAAATATGTAAAACACAAATTTTATACATGAAAGATGATGAAACTTCATCATCAGGAAAAGATAAAATCAGAAAATGAATCAAAATACAGGTGAGCCAAAGATAGAATCGGAATATGAAACACAAAATTTTACACCTTCAGCAATGATGAATATACAAAGACAGAATCAGAATATGAAAAAGAATATGAAAAAGTCTTGCGTCAGAGAGAAGAAAGAGAAGGTGTCTTAGAAGTCCTAGGAATAAGAAGAAAGGAACAAGAAGATTTGACTTCACTGCGCCTTCGGACAGTTCATAGTGAATATCCATTTTTACTATCCAATATAGCAGCAAAACTTATGATTTCAAAACATATCAATATGAAACAAAAATTTTACACCTTCAGCAATTATGATTATACAAATATAGAATCAGATATTATGGTTATACAAAGATAGAATCAGAATAAAGGTGAGCCAAAATAAAAATCTTTAAAAACACAAATTTTACGTGGCACCCCGCCTTACTAGCTTTGAAAAATCAGAGTAAAATTTTCGCTTTTGTTTTCGAAAGGTGGTGCGAGCTTGGTTTTCGAAAACACTAACTTGTTGCGGGATGACACAGATAAAAACTTTACTTAACTTGCTCACAGACATAATAAAACATGCAACCAAACTATCCGCTACGGATATGGAATCATACATGCCATGTCTGAACTATCTCGTACAGTCTAAAGTCTGCTAGCGGAAGCATCCGAAATATATAAATACATAGAGTACATGCATACATATCTAAATGAATACATGATCATAAAAATAAGGACATAAAATGAGCGTAAAAATGTCCTCGCTGTCATGACCACGCTTCACCACGCATAGCTCACCCAGCACGCTCGACTCCGTCTCCTGAAAAACACAATGGGGGCGTGAGCAAACCACTATGCCCCGCAAAGACCAGTATTGAATAAGACATCATGTATAATAACGTGTCATGAACATAAATATCTAAGAGCTGAACTGTAAACTTTTCTTTTCTTTCTTTATTGTGGTTAAAAGACCCTTGGCCCTCGGCCGCTCGTGTGCACACCCCGATGGGATATTAAGGCCCTTGGCCTCCAAGCGGTACCAGGTAAAACTCGAAAGGCCCTTAGGTTGGCCAATCACCTGGGGGAACTAACTGTCTCGAACACACCTCTGTCATGGTACAGATATTATATATAATGTGGAATCCAGTGCATGACCCCCACCTGATAACTGAACTGACGCAAGTGCTGAAACTGGAGTAGCGGTCGGAGGCTCGACTCTCCTTAGGCTACATAAACATTTAAGCAAAATAATGCTAAGTATAATGCTCATAAATATTTATTTATATGCTAATATGCTCAGATTATTATATGTTAAGACTAGACTAGCTCGGCTCGGAAAAATACTAAAATTCTGAAAGAAGACTCGGACCGGAAGTCATGAATCAAAACGGACTCGAACCGCCGGTCGAATCGGCCGGTTCGCTGACTGGCCGGACCGCCGGCTCGACTGAACCGGGCAGTCGGGCGCTGGCTCGGGCTGGACCGGGCTCGGCCCCGCGCTGTCATACGGCTGGGCACGGACAGGTGCGGCTGGACGCGGGTTTGGCGTGGACAGAGGCCACACGGGCACTGTCGGGCGTCCCCGAGGTCACTGGGCACTCGGGCGTGCTGTTGGCCATGCACCGAGGCATACTGGCTCAACAGACCCGACTTGGGTCGGCACTGGGCATGGCACGAGGCTCTGGCGCGAGTCCTCGTGCACTGGGGTTAGCACGGCGCTGCCGGGCACCGTGCGCGTGGCTTGGGCACGCGGGGTGCTGCCACCACGCATGCTGACACTACTCGGGCTTACATCTGCGCGGGGTACGAGCGGCTGGCTCGAAACCATGCATGCATGGGCATGGACAGCGCTGCCGGGCGCTGTCGGAGGGTGCTGGGTGCTACTAGCGCCGATGTTGGGCACACGGCATGCACTGGGCGCTGCGGGCGCTGTTGCGTGCACGCCTGCTGTGCGCCACGCCTACCAGGCACGAGCACTGACTGGGGTTAGCCTCTGCAGGCACTGGGGCCGGGAACTACCCCACTATATGTGCGGACAGCGACCAAGGCCGGCCCTTGCCGGACCTCCGGCGACTTTATCCTGTGACATGCATAACATAACATCATGATATGATATAAAAAGCATATTTATCACATAAAATGCTAGGACGAATCAGATCATTTTGCATGTGGCTCGGGAGGGCCTATATGGCACCTACGAGCCCTAACTCATCGAACCAACTTTCATAACTTATAAAACTACTTAGGTCCGAATTTTTAACATCCAAAATGATGACTATAGGGGCTAATGCATGTGGAATATCTTGCATGTACAATACTAAGGCTCGGGGGTCCGAAATGGCACATTTTCATGAACGATTTGACCGAACAAACCAACTCCAATTAGGCTGAAACTTTTTCAGCATCAATTACATGATAAATGAGGGTAATTATATTTTGACTTAGGCATGCTTGCTACTAAAAATTTATTTTTAAGGCCATTTAATTAATAAATTCGGAACTTGAGTCAAATGACGTGCATGGCTTAATTTTTCTACATGAAAAATCCTCAAATATCATAAATAGGCTGTGGTAAAAAGATAGGTCGAGCTAACCTTCATCGAAAATCGAAAATGGCTACTAGGGCTTGAATGGGGCTTGTTCACGGCTTTGGGACTTAGGTTTGAGTTGGAGTGGGATTTGGCCGAGCTTTATGAACTCCCAAGACTTATAAAAATCTAAGAAATACTTAGAAGTCGATAAGCCTTGGAAGAAATGGCTTGGAACACGAGTTGGTCTATCCTTCCTTCTTCCCGGGTCTCACGCGCGCGACAATGGGCTGGGGACTTAGTCTCGGTTTTTCTCCTCCCTCCTCACTATTTGCTCGAGTAATAAAAGGTATAAGAGCTTAATTGAAGCTGAGGAATAGGTCTTTTATAGAGGGGAGGGGCGGAGTGGCCTAGGTAAGTCAATGGGGGACACAATGGGTGGACTACTCTATTTTTCCAAGCGCATGTGCTAGGGCTGGGCACTTGGGTGGTTTTGACCGACTTGTGGTGACTTCCCAGGTGGTTTTCAGAGCACAAAGAGGGACAAGGAGGATCTGGTCAGGTCTGGCACGAAAGCGTGGGACAAGGACAAACTTCTTGAATAAAATAATGCAAGGCACATGCTCCATTTTTGCTTAGGCACAAACTAACTTTCCTTAATGACTTCTTAGGACTAATTATGTTGAAATGAACCCTCATTAACTTGCTAATACTCGCATGATATGGGTTTGCTTGGACTTGGGCCGAAACTTCAAGGATTGGGCTCAAAATGTTGGGCTGTCGCGGACCCGCGCTGGACTGCATGGGCTGAGCGCGGGAACACCTTGGGCCAGGTATAATGGGCTACGAAAGGTTCTCAACACTTAGGAAATTTACCAAATGATATGCCAAGGCTTTGGTAAGGCCTTGGACTCGGCGGCACATGCTTTGGCGCGGCAAGGGGTGGGGGTGCGGTTCGGGGCTTGGGCACGAGTGGCTCGGTGCATTGGCTAGGTTCAAGTATAAAATGTCCAAGGCTCGAGTTTGATATTTTAATACACTTAGAAAAATATTCTTAGTATCAAAATACCAATTCTTGGCTATGCTCGAGATTTACTAGAAAAATGACTCGGAACAAACTAGGGTTCCGAGTCAATAATTTCTCGAGTTGAATATCTATAATTTAACAACCCAAATTAATGGATTGATCTTGACTTAAACTTGATATAGAATATTCCAAAGAATAATCTATTATATTTGAGCATTTAGCATATAAAATATAACTCGGAAAATTCTGAAATTTACGGATTTCACTTATAGTCGAGCAGTGAAACCGTTCTTAATATTATTACTGATTTGGGGCGTTACATTTAATACATGAACAATGAAGAAACGTCACCAGGAAAAGATTGTAGGGAGGCGTGTGTTTTGCTACTATTATTTTTATGTAGTGCTAAGTATAACCTATTTGTGTATATATATTTGAGCAGAATAAAATGTTTGTGTATATATATATTTCTTTTTATGTAGTGATAAGAATATATACTTGTGTATATAAAACTTTTATAGTGAGTCTCTATTATGTTGATCAGTTTATTGTTAAAATTTCATCCCTAAACTCCAACCTGAACCCCTTGACCTGAAACCCTCCCTTCTCATGCCTTTTGTTCACAGTTTTGAATATGATGTTAGGATTATTTTTTGAGGCTCAAATTCCATGTTCTGGTCCCTTTTTTAGTGATTTGAATCCTCTAAAATTTCATTTAAATCACCTGAGCCAAACTCTGAAAAAACCACGGTCGAAACCGTGCAGCCGCTGGGAGACCAGGGCCGCAACCGCCGCTGCTGGTGGGGGTCCAGCACGCGGGCAGTGGATGTCGCACGTGACGCGCAGCAGTGGCGCGCGTGCGTGTGAAGGCCTGCAGTGATGTGCTGAGACCCACAGCATTCGTGCAAGCCGTAGCCGAGGCCCCAACGTCACTCTCACGACACCCCGAGGCACACCGCGTGCCACGGCCGTCGCCCGCAGCCCAGACGTGTCACAACTGCCAGTCAGCACACCCAGTCGACGCCAGCAGCCAACAGCCGGTCCTCAGACGCTCCCAACACCACCAGCAACCATCACCTGTGGTTCAGCAGCCGCAGCCCCACGCCCCAGCGCCCGAGCAGGTCCAGCAGCATCCAGACGTGCCAGGCGAGCCCAGGCAGCACCCGTGTACACCCAACCAGCGCCAGCGACTCAACCCACGCCCGTGCCAAGCCCTCTATGGTCGATTTTCGTTCTTCCAAAACCCTTTGACCGTTTTTGGACCCTTGGACCTCGGTTTCCATGCTAAACATAATTTTGACCTTTTTAAATAATTTTTTGATGTCTTTCCTTAAAATTCAAGAGTTCTAAATTCCACAAAATTCCACGGACTACTTAGTCAATAATTTTTTGACTAAGTATGAATTTTCTTGAATCTTTCTAAGTTATCAACATAATATATTTATGAGGATTATCTTGATTTAATGTAGGTGTTTGAGGAGTCGAGCCTTCGACCTACGTTCTACTGCTTGTGGTGCTTTGCCTACCTTGTCTATCAGGTGGGTGTTGATAAACTTTACTGTACAATTATTCTTTATAATTGCTAGATTTTATAATCAATGTATGCATGTTAACCATGTAACCTATCATTAGATGCGGTATCGACCTTCGATATAGTGTCCGCATCTTCAGATGCGGTATCGACCATCGACGGTGCCTAATGAGAGGTAGTCTCCATTTTTTTCTAATGAAAGGCCTTGTCGTTGGATGCAATATCGACCTTCGACATGTGCTCCCGTTGTTGGATGCAGTATCGACCATCAACAATTATATAAGTGTACACATGTGCATTATTATATGATATGATTGATTGGAGATGTGATAATATTATTGATTCACGTCCTTGCTGCGATTCTATTATCTGTTATTATACTGAATAGATTGTACGGTAATTTCCACGGTGAGCTGTTGGTCGCTCACCCCTATTATTATATCTTTTTTCAGGTTGCGTAGGTGGCGGGCGAGACGAACGAGCGGATGGTCATTTTACTTGCTTTATATTATTGAATTGAAACTGCTTCCGCTAAAACTTGTGTTTTACTGAAAACTGGGATTTTGATGTTTTGGATACGTTTTGTATCACGGATTGATTTATTTATGATTGCGAGATTACGAATATGAATTGATATTTTATCTCGTATGCATGTGATGTGTTGGGCAATGAGATCCCAAGTGTTTGGGCAATGAATTCTCGAAGGTTAAGATGTAACTTGAGCTATTTATGAAAATGTTTTGAGTAACGCCATTAAATGTTTGAAATCGAAAAATAATTTTCAAAAAATTAACCTTGATTTTTGGGAAAAGTCCAGAATTTTCATTAATAATTAACAGGGCCTTACACGCATGCCCCTGTGGCCATCCGACCTTTGAGCTACATGAGGGCGGTCCTTGATTTTAGAGGCTAAAATCGGGGTGAGCTCTTCTTGACCGTTGGATGCCAATTCTTGTGCCCCAATTGACCTGTTTGGGTCCTATATCATACTTCAGAATACTAGATTACAGTCCAAAAAAGTCAAATCTCTAACTTGAGCATTCAAGATTTTTTGGCATGACCCCTCCCGCTATACTTTATAGGTCATCGAACTGGAGTCAAGAGGTTGTTCATGACATTATTTGTCCAACTCCGGTTTGCAAAAAATTTGCAAATATTTGCCCTACATCTTCAAACTCAAGTCACATTATTTCACAAACTAACTATTACACAAACAAACAAACTAGCTAGGCTTTTGTTTCAGTTCCTGAATCTGAGACTTAGGCGAAATCCGGTCCAGTTTTGTGATCGGCCGTTTGGTGTTGCTGTCGTTGTTCGATGGGTGTTTTTCTGACTGTGGGAAGGGCTTTACTCTATTGTTGTAGTTGTGTTTTTTTTGTTGTGTTTGTGTGTTGTGTTGTTTGGTAGAACTTGTGTTTTTTGTTTGGGCCGTTGGCCTCTGTACTGCCCGAGTGTGAGCGGGTATTATCCCGTTAGGATCTTTCATTCTCCTATTGGGACCTTTGCACATTTGTTGGTTTTATTTATAGCAATCTCTATCG